CTTAAAATCTTGCAGCTAAAATGAGACAAAATCTTGAAAACCTCTGAAGATAACTCAAGATAGAAATTTACGTACTTAGAAAATGTCAGTGTTTGCAATAGAAAAAAGAAAGAAAACTCGGTAAAACACAGAAAATTCATTGAAGGTATAGTGCATATTTGTAATTCTCAAAAGCAAAACATCGTCATTTTGTAAAAAATTAAATTCAATACAAAAATTTAAAAAAAGGAAAAACAGGATGAGTTTTAAATTTTTGGCTCTGAAAAAAAAAAAAAAACATAGCAAACATGGACTCAAGTGCCCACAATAATATGCAGTGTCAAAAGGATATTTTTTTTTTTTTTACATGACACAGTTTTTTGGGTTTTTTTTAACTAATTTCACTATTCAGCAATGTTTATTGTTTTATAAAACGATGATTGGAATTGGAATAAAACCTAAACGTATGATTAAAGTGAATTTATACATATTTTTGCTCCTGTGAACTTACAAGAAAAATATTAAACACTATTTATTGATTAGATTGTTTATTTACAAGAATAATTTTATATTTACAACATTCTAATAACTAATACAATTAAAACTAATGTAAAGCAATATTTATCATTTACCAATTTATAAAGAAATAAATATGAAAACAATTTTTTTATTCATAAATTTATAAACATTTACTCAATTATTAAAATATGTGAACCAACTATAACTTTATTATTTACCATTTTATAAAGATCAAATTCCAATAAACAATATTATAAATAGTGTAAGTAAACAATCTAATTATTTATTTTTTTGTTGCAAATTCTCAAGAACAAAAAATGTATAAATTCTCTTTCATTATATATTTAGGTTTTATTACAATTCTAATCATTGCTTTTTAAAAAGAAACATTAACAAGAATTAGTTAAAATAATAGTGGTGTCATGGGAAAAATGTCCTTTTCATATGTTGTTTTTTGTGAGCATAAAAGTTCAAGTTTACCCATTTGTGTTAGAAAACAAAAAGAGTCAATGCTACATATCACAACAGTATAGCCACTTGAATGTTGAAAATTAATGCTATCTGTTATTTATATGGCATATATCAGGTCATCCCATAAGTTCTGTCCGAATTTTAACTTTTTGTTAAAATGAACAAAATTTAAAGAGTATTTTATAATGTCTAATGGAGCTGAACATTATTTTTATGTTTGGATGCATTTAAACTGATCAAATTTTATTTCAGAGAACAATAAAATAAAATTTTGTTTGATTAAAAACCTGCTAACATGGAAGTACCCAAGAATAATTTGAGGCACATAATGCTTTATGAGTTCAAGAAAGGAAACTCAGCAGCCGAAACGGCTAGAAACATTCACTCAGTTTAGGGAGAGGAATGTGTGAATGAAAGAACTTGCAGAAGATGGTTTGCAAAATTCAGAGGTGGAGATTTCACCCCTGAAGATGAAGATCGAACCAGACGTCCAGTTGAGTTTGATGAAAAGCTTCTTGAAGCAGCCCTCGAAGAAAATCCTGCTTTATCAATTGAGGAATTGGCAGTGGTTCTCAGTTCAAACCATACAACTGTTCATTGTTATCTTCAACAACTTAGAAAAGTTCCTAAACTTGGAAAATAGGTGCCTCATGAATTGTCTGAAAACAACCTCAAATCCCAAGTTGACATCTGCTCTTCTCTCCATTCTTGCCAACTTGTTTCACCTTTTTTGGATAAACTTGTGACAGGCGACGAAAAATGGATCTTTTATCGAAATGTTAAGTGTTGTAGACAGTGACTTGGTAACAGCCACAGCCGAGAAGGGAACTTCATGGGCAAAAGGTTCTTCTTTCAATCTGGTGGGATTGCCAAGGAATAATCCACTTTGAATTCTTACCACCTAATGCAACAATTAATGCTCAAATATACTGTCAGCAATTAGAGCGTTTGAATTAAGATTTGAGGAAAAAAAGACCTGCTCTAGTGAATTGAAAAGGGGTGATGTTTCATCAGGACAATGCACGATCCCACACAGCAAGAATCACATCACAAAAGATTGAAGAACTTGGTTGAGAGAAAATTCCTCATCCACCTTATTCTCCCGATCTTGCTCCTTCAGACTACCATTTATTTTGTAGCTTACAGAATCATTTGGAAGAAACAGCTTTTGTAACACAGAAAGAGGTTAAAACTGACATTTGTGAGTTCTTCGAATCAAAGCCAAAAGAATTTTACAGTAATGGAATTAGTAAGCTTGTTAATAGATGGAAGGAAGTCGTAGATAATCACGGAAATACATTGTTGATTGAATCTGTAATTAAATGTAACATTTGGTCTCTTGTTTTCTTTATTCAAAATTCGGACAGAACTTATGGGATGACCTGATACATATTTTCCATTAGAATACATATCTACACATTTAACAAAAATATATTTTCAATTCAGCATATTTTTATTGTGTATGTGAAATTGAAGATTCACAAATTTCAGAAATTTTCTCCTGTGTAAATTTTCATATCGTTCTGTAAAAAATACAATTCCACAGACTTTTCAAAACATTGGATTTTACTTCCCTGTGAGTTTTTATATGTCATTCAATTACCAGTTGTAGATTTATATATTTTGCAGATACACAACTTCTCTTCATTATATATTTGCATGTGTTTTTTTAAATATAAAGTTGAAATGAATACAAATTCCAATGAGCTATACAAATATTGTTTTTCTATGAGACTTCACTTGGACTTAATTGTGAGCTATCAACAAATCCAGATACCAACCCATCACAGGAGGATGGCTTCTCCTCTGTATGTATTTTCATATGAGTCCTTAAATCTGATTTCCGTGAAAACGCACATTCACATACGTGGCAAGGATATGGTTTTTCTCCAGTGTGTGTTCGTACATGTCTCTTTAAAGCTGAGCCATCTGCAAATGGATAATCGCATACTTCACAAATGTAAGGTTTTTCTCCAGAGTGAATTCTCAAGTGTCTCTTTAAACTTCCGTGTTGTAAAAATGCTGCATCACACACTTGGCATGCGTACGGTTTTTCTCCAGTATGAGTCTGCATGTGTCTTTTCAAATTGCCACTCTGTAGAAATGCATAGCCACAGATTTTGCAAATGTGTCGTTTCTCCTCCGTGTGCATTTGTAAGTGTTTTTTTAATTGTGAATTCGAAGCAAACAAACTTTCACATATGCTACATACTTTCTCCGCGCTATGTGACTTCATGTGCTCTTCTAGCTGCGAATCATCTATAAAAGCCGATCGACACACATCGCAAAAATACGGCCCATCAATCGTGTGTTTCTGCATGTGCGTCTTTAAATACGTTTTCCGTGAGAATGTAGATTCACATACATTGCAAGAATATGGTTTCTCGCCTGTGTGTATTCGTATGTGTCTTTTTAAAGCTGAACTGTCTGAAAAGGAGGCCTCGCACATTTCACATGAGTAAGGCTTTTCTCCAGTGTGAATTCGCAGATGCCTTTGTAAACTTCCTTTATGTAGAAATATGGACCCACATTCTGGGCAAGAGTATGTTGCTCTGGCTGTGTGAGTTTGCATATACATTTTTTAAGTTTGAAGTCTTCAGAAATTCAGATCAATGCACCATACACAAATACAGCCACTCTACGGTACATGGTTTGTTTTTTTGTTTTTTTTTATGAAGAGGTCTGGGAACACACAAGTTGATTTCCTTCATAGGATGTTCATCATCAATGCTTTTTGCCCAGAATTTTAAATTGAAATGCTGCTAACATGCACTCCCACACACATCAGAGAAAGATTTTCTCTCTTGAACTCTTTCTGTAGGCATTTAAATATGAATGCTGTGAAAATTTTGATTCAGAAATCCAATTCTCTGTCTCCAAAATGGCTGATCTGTAAATGAAAGATATTTTCAATAAAAACTTATGTCAAAGCATATATGAAATAAAAATGGTACCACTTCTGCATGTGATCTACATTTAAAAACATGATCTACATGCGCAATTCTACTGAAGTGTGGAATCTACATTTCACATAAAAAGAAACTGTGTACAGACAGTGATATATATATATATATATATATATATATATATATCAGTCAGTTATGTGCCATGCGTGGTACACACTTAGGTGATCATGTATCTTTTGATACATGATTGATGAGGCAGATTTTTTCACACAGTAGGTTGCCATTTCTTTCTGTGGTAGATCAGTTGCCATCCAAGACTATAGAACCCAATCAATCCCACTATTTACCCATAGCTGAGAGGAGAAGAAGAGGATTCATACCTTTCCCAAGGGTATTAGCACATAAGTGAATTAATGAATTAGAATTCAAACTCAGCTCTCCAATTCGTCAATCTGAGCTGCTATCCATTACTCCACCGAGCCTCCATATATATATATATATATATATATATATATATATATATATATATATATATATATGAATATGAAAATTTCTCAGAGTTAGCCTGTAGAAAAGACAATATTTATAAATATAAATGACAATAGGAAAAACTGTAGTTATTGCTGACGAGTTTCGTCTAATGTTTACATTGGACAAAACATGTCAGCAATAATCATAGTTTTCCTATTGTCATATATATATATATATATATATATATATATATATATATGACAATAGCAAAACTGTAGTTATTAAAATATAAAATAAATAAATGTGACATCATTTGTTTTTAATTTCTTCTTCTTTCATTTTCATATAAATATTAGTGTTGTGCACTTTCTCAGTTAATTGACTGATTTATTTTCTATGGCTTATCAATCCTTTGCAGGTTATTTAAAGCCAGAAAATATATTTAGAATGAAAGAATTTTTTTTGTCGATAATAATGATTTAGTAATAGAAGTCTTACTAATTAACCCATATCTGGAGGGAGAAGAGGTGGATTCATACATTTCCCAAGGATATTTGTGCATAAATGAATATAACAAATCCAACAGGAATTGAACTCAGCTCTCCAATTAACAATTCCAAGCCATTGCCCATTACACCACCTGCACATCCAAGCTTACCACATCTGGTATTCCTAAGCAGTCTCCCATCCAGGTACTGACCAGGCTTGATGTTGCTTAACTTCTGTGATTGGATGGGAACCGGAATTTCAGCACGATGTGACTGTAACCCTTTCTCAGATCATATTCGACATGTAGATCATATGCTTTAGTAGATCTGTGTTGTTGTAGATCACACGCTTTAGTAAATAGATGTAATAGACCACATTCAGCATGTAGAACGCATTTTAGTAGATCTGTGTTGTTATAGATCACATTCAGCATGTAGAACGCATTTTAGTAGATCTGTGTTGTTATAGATCACGCACTGGTATCAATAAAACTACAACAAATCAGTTCACATTTAAAAAAACATGACATGTTCAAGAATAAAACTTTGTAGCATACAACCTGCAAAATTGATGGGACTGCTAACAAATTTTTTTAAAAATGTACAAAAATTGAACATTTAAAGATCATGTTCTTAACAGACGCAAATGCGCTGCATATTTCAAATTTGACTTTTGGTATCTACAATCGGTTTTGTGGATATGCAAGTGGTGTAATAACGGACAGTGGCTCGAATGAAAGATTAGAGAACCAAGTTTGAAATCTGGTCGAGTTTGTTACATTCACTCACATGCAAATAACCTTGGGAAAGGCATGAATCCATCTCTTCTCATCCCAACTATGGGTAAATAGCAGGAGAGACTGTACCCTATAGCCTTCTAGAAAGAAAAACCCTTGTGGGGAAAATTGTGAAAATGGCCTACCTCGGAAATGCCCACGAATCTGTGCGATGTGCAAACTCCGGTTGCTCAACGGTAAAAAGAACCAAAATGGCGGTGCCCATGTTTTATGCCGGACAGTCTTGGACAGTTAATGCGAAATCTCGTTGTCTCATCATTCACATGCAAATCATGGTCGGTCCTCGGCTATATAAAGCAGGCATGTTTTTGATTCTGATTACTGGTTTTTTTGCTCGTGACAAGGTTGGACGTGTGACACGGTTTTGTCGGTTACCCTCCTCGCGGTTTTTTCCTATCAGTTGAGTCGTTGCTTTTCCACCACAACCCTGAATTCAAAACCAGTCTGAAGAGAGATGGGTTCCGTCAGGCCATCTTACCCATTGTGGCTGTGGCTGCAGTACATGTAGATATAGAAGCTAAAGAGATACAGGACTTGTTATCATGATCAGCAATCAGCTTTTGTTCTGTGAAGTATAAATATTGTTAAATTGAGTGGAGTTACATCACTTGATATGAAGCTACTATAAATGTGTTTACAAGGGAAGGAGAGAAACCATTATTATGTTGGAAAGGTAAATGAAGAGAGTAAGGTGTTGCAAGACTAATTAACAAATATCACATCTAGCAATAACTCAATATATTTCTCAGGCTCTCTTAACCTGATGAGAGTTGTCACACAAAATTCTAGAGTTGGTCAATGAGATAAGTAATTTAGACATTTACTATTAATTTATCAACTCTATATATATTACTTAAATATTATTTTTAGTGGATACTCATATTTGAGTAAATGCTCCATTTATTTATTAAACAGTATAATTACTTATTTTTGTCTACCAAACTGAAATTAAAAATAATGTTTAAGTAATAAAAATCTGTCATATTAATAAATGTAATATATATATATATACATATGGTATAAAATGATAATTGGAAAAAAAATCTTAGATTTAGCTGACGTGTTTCGTCATCCGACTTTTTCAAAGCAAAAATTTAACCGAAATGTTTTGTTGTTATAGTTACATTAAAAAATCCAAATTTAAAAAGATAGACGCTTCTGTCTAAGCCTTTTTCTGGTTAATATAAATTACCTTTTTTTTTTTTTCATGTCGACAATATAGTTAAATTCACAGATCAATTCTGTGGATAAGACACAGAATTGATCTGGGAATTTAACTATATATATATATATATATATATATATATATATATATATATATATATATGTGCATATTTCATTGAATACGACAGACAAGGTGCTTTGATTTAGCTTTTATAAAATTTCTCATGTTTTTTTTTTAAATTAAATATTAAAATATTTCATCCTGGAAAAATGTCTAATTGCATAGCCGAAAGCACTCGGAAAAAAAGAACATTTGGACAGTTTTTATATAATTTATAATCTGTAAAGAAAAAATTATTAAAACACATGAGAAATTGTATAAAAAAAACTAAATCAAACCACTTTGTCTGTCGTATTCAATGAAATATGCATGAAAGAAGGACTGCTGCCTAAATACACAAATATATATTTTTTAAAACAGTGAACATTTTAGTAATCAAGACATCGGCAACAAAAGTATTTTATCAATTAAAAATAGAAATTTTAAAGTACCTTTCATCCAACGCTTCATCAGAAGAAAAATCAATGGATTATTAAGAAAAGTAACCAAACATCCTTCGGATAGAATTAAAAGAGACAAGAGGGAGGGGAAGAAAAAAATTAAAGATGATATGTGCCAAACACCTCCAAGATGTTAAGATGATGTTTCATCCAAGCCCTATGCAGCACAGAGAAGAACTGCTGAATAATTGGACCCACAAGTGATATAATAATATATTTTTAATTTCATGCACGTGCATCGTTTTTGGTTTTGTCAGCTGCACAGTATAGTACGCTCAGTTGGGCACTCTCTGTGACAAGAAGAGCCCCATGATTCCATTGAAAATGGCATGCTGTTCTGCTTGGCATTCACACTGGAAGCTCCAATACGAACATTTCAGAATGTTTAGGTGTCAATCTGAGGAGAGTACAAATGATTTGGAATGAGATGGATGAGCCTAATGGTGATTAAGAAGATATGGCAGCTAGGAAAACTCACTCTGATAATTCTGATCAGAAAAGAACTCCTGAATTTGTTGGTGAGGGCCTCAGACTCAACACAGAGGCCTACATCAAGTGCCTTCATGAAGTAGTGCTACCCTGGGTCAAGTGGGTGGCTGCTAGAAGACCCTATATCTGGCAACAGGACTCTGCACCATGCCACACAAGCAGGAGAACCCAGTCATGGCTGTCAGACAATTTCTGCGGCCATATCACCTTTATATTTGGCCACCTACCTCCCCAGACGGCAACCCCCTTGATTATTATGCATGAGGTGCAACTGAGCGAGAGACCAACAAAACTCTTTGTAACACCAAAGATGAACTGAAGGCAAAGATTATGGCAGCATTCACCAATTTAAACAAGGAGACTGTCCAGAAGAATTGCAGGATATTCTGAAGTCGCCTGGATGCCATGGTTGAAGACAATGGTGATTTTATTGAATAAACCTAGTCTTTACTATTTCAAGATATTTTTGTGTGATTTCAGTAAATATATATGTTAAAATGAGATGTCAGTGTTATTTTAATTTTTGCGTAATTTAGAAGATAATTTATCCCTCAAACTCTGTATAAGGCGACAAGAAAATTATAAAAAGAAATAACAGCATTCTACACATCTGCACATACACACATGTACAGGTGTACACATACACATAAAGAAGAAAAAAAAAATCAACCTAACGCTAATAAAAAGTACATAATTTTTTTTTTTAATATAAATATAATGAAAATGAGAAAAATTGCCAGATAATTACTGATACTTCTTGGATGAGTGGGCCAAACAATTAAACAAAGGTTCATCTATGAAACTCTGGAGTTGGAATGTTTAACATAACATCAGCTCAGTGACAAATTTTATATATGTACTAGCAGCATGGCCAGGCATTGCCCGTGGTTGATTCAAAAATCGTACGACTCATACAGCAATCACTATCACTAGACTTAAAATATTTTTGCCCTTTGCCATGCTAATGTTGCTACATGCCTTACTTCTTGCCTATCTCACTCTGCGAATTTTTTCTAAGCTCTATACTAAACATTAAATCTGTTACGAAAAAAGAACTAAACAAAATGAACACAAAACGATCAGCTTTAAAAAAGGGCTAGTAACTGGAAAAACCAAATGAAAAAAAAAATGTTAACAACAAATGCTTTTTCACATCCAACCCAGTTCTGCAGAATCAGAATCAACATTGAGTTTAAGCAAGCGAATGAGCCAATTGGAGTAAAGTGTCATGCAGATTTAAATTTTTCCCACTTGTGACGAATGCAGATATCGATTTTTTTTGCATTCTAGCATGCTAGTTAATATTCGTGTCAGTCAGCTGTTGGCTCTCATGCTGGCCAATAGAATCTTCCTGCCTATTCATGGCAGCCAGCTATTGGCTCTCACTATGGCCAGTACAAAATGGCCACAAACTACATGAAAACTGCCGTAGAAGCATGAAAAAATCGATTATTTCCACTATTGATGGGAGTTGTGAAATGCAAAGGTGGTCTTGACCTTCCCACTAACTTGGAGAATGTGCATGTAAATTTTGGTGCAAATCCATCGAAAATTGTGGGCGTGCATTCATTACACACACACACACACACATATATATATATATATATATATGAAGAAATATAGTCTTAAGATTGCTATATTTATGGGATAAAGTGCTCAATATCAGAGATCGAGCATGTGTAAATATAAAAGTGAACGTAGAAGTCAAACACTTAGAGGCAACAGTCTGTTTCATGCTAGATGCAATCGTCAGGCCTTTATTTATTTAATCTATGAAATATAACAAGTAAATATTTTTTAAATTTTACTGATCGAATTCTTAACTTAAGTAATAATACTTTAAAAAAAACAACAAAAAAAAGATTGTTACCGTTAATTAAAAATAAAATATTCCATTCATTATTGATGATTAATAAAAAACAAGTGGAAGTATCGAGAGAACTTAGGAAATTTTTCCATGGTTTTGCCATTAAACCAATTTTAAATTGTGCCACATTTAGTTGTGACATGGGTGCTCTGGTAAATGTCCTTACTAAACAAAGATCAAAGTGGGGAATAAAGACCCTTACACCAGCCCTAGGTGAGCTACCGACTACAAGACTTTTACATGCCTCGAAAGTCATCTCCTGTTATTAATCTATTTTGGTAACTGAAGCTCCTTCCAATTAACAATGTTAATATCATGCTTTATGCAAATGCCCATTTCTCTCAACATTACATACGGCAAATATAACTGTCTGCTTTCAAATCATTACAGGCCATGGA